CCCCAACATTTACACATGAACAGAATGCGTCAGAACCAACACCTAGAACACATCCAGCGCCTACTGAAGGATTATTAGATTACCGAGGAATTCATAAGAGAGTAAAAGACGCTGCTGATGGAATACAATTCTTAAAAAAATTTTCGGCACTGCAGGTAAGTTTGAAGAAATGTAAATGAAATTAAAAAAAAAATAATATTGATAAATTTTATTTTTATTTACAGATACTTATTCAAAAGCCCTCGATAAACTTATTCAGGAAGAAGAAACATCTAATTTAGATACGACGGACTACATGAACGATACCGAGAATTTCAATGCAGCCAAAAACAAACGACGCAGAAGAGCTCATAAAGAGTTCAACAGCGACACTGACAATAGTGAAAATTCATATAGCAACGATGAGAATGATCCTGGAAAATTAAACAGAGCAGTAGAATTTTTGTTTGTAGAAAATTAAACGCCAGATGATTATTGGAAGAAACTAACATGCTTATTTGAGTATCTAGATGCTTTGGACCAGTTATATGAAGTATTTCGCGAAACAAGGGGTTTAGCCAATGCACTCGCTCTATACGCGGAGATGAGCCAAACAAAAGAGTATGCTATGACCATTGCATACGTATTAACAAACTCAGCGCATACTACAGGGCATATAGGAAGAACGACACGCAGCTCGATGTATCCATTGACTAGCCAATTGCCTCCATCAAGTACTACTATCACTCTAGATATAATGACAGGGTACATGTTCTGGAATAACGTCCATCATGTTGTAGAGTCAATAGGAATCGGATGCCATACACTATATGGTGAGGGTAACGCTGAAGGAAGTAAAATAAATTCAATGCTACGTGATCAATCATATAGTCTACGAGGACCTAGGAATGAGTTGTTCAGGAGGTTAATGCCATGGTACCCAGTACTTGTGGGTGGTGGTGATCATCTCGCAAAGGTGCAGGTATAAAACCTTTCCTCGCGCGGTCGTTTATATAGTTGCCAGATGTTGGCGGGTGGCCGAATCTACCTGTCACTTTCGTCACATCGGAACCGAAACCTACTTGCGACTCCGAATGGCTATTTTCATTGCACGTGTTCCTGCAATAACAATTTCGAACGGTACACAAGTGGTACATGTTCAAGAGCATAATAAAAATTTTCTTTTTTCAGGAAACTTGTTCCTCGGGAATATGAACTAAAAATATTCCTGCCCTCCCTCGTCGTTCATTATGGAATTGCATTGGCATTTTATCGTCATTACAATAGGGCGACCGATAGAAGCATTTTGAAAAATGAAGAATGATGATTGACGAAGGAAGTAGACTGATTTGAATACTTGAAAGCCCTCCCTCGCTCGTCATTCGCTATGTCATGCATTTCATCGCTCTGTTTTGTTTACTTTCATGGACCACTTGCAGCGAAGCCACCCCACCCACGCCTGCTCCTTCAAAAAAATGCGAGCGTTTGCCGTTCCCTATTTTTCGGTCCAGCAGGAGATTCGCCGAAAGTCATGCCTAGCTTCGCTACAAGTGGTCAATGAACGTAAAGAAAGCAGGGCGATAAAATGCTTGAGATAACGAATGACGTTGCGAAGGTGGGCTTTCAAGTATACATCAGCCTANTTCTCTTTCAGGCATAACCAGAATACAAGAAAATCAAAAGATTAACATAAGTAAATTCAAGCAAAATTAAAAAAAAAAAAAAAAACCCAAAACAAAATCATTAGGAAAACAAGATTGAAATAATATGGCACAAATGAAAAGTCCGATAACTATTTTACAAGAAATTATGAGGAAAAAACAAGAAGTTCCCATTTATGACCTTATAGTCAATCAAGGGGGAACCCACATAAATACTTTTGTGTATAAAGTCTCTTGTGACAGATTAGTAGCAACAGGAAGAGGAAGATCAAAAAGGGAAGCAAAACATAACGCTGCGAATGCATTACTGGAAGCTATTACGAGACGTGAATTGCAGCAAATAATTACTACGACTGAACCTTTGAATTTAGCAACATCGCCAAGTCCTTTAAATGAACAGATTGGAAATCCGGTTAATGACCTACAAATATTTTGCAGCAACCATAATTTAAATAAACCTGAGTATCAAATAGTAATGAATGAATACGAAAATAATAGGAAAATTTCTACCATTCAATGCAATGTGATCATCCCTACTGAAATCGGTACCGCGGAAACGCAAGAACTAGCTAAACAAGAAGCTGCAGGAAAAATGTTAAATAAGCTAAAAACCTTAATGTTTGATGTCCCCCAAGAAAATACGAGATTATAATACAATCATACGGAGATATGAAATTCCGTTTAATTAAATACATTCTGTGCTTCTAATTAATCTCAGTGTACAGGCCCTCCTAGAAAGGAAGTAAGGATGGAAAACTCTGTGACACCAATCACATATCCGATGATTCAAACGGAAATAAACGTTGGAGAGTAGTAATAGATTTTCGGGCATTAAATGAAAAAACAATTGGAGATGCATATCCTCTCCCAAATATTAATGAAATTCTAGATCAAGTTGGTGGAGCCAAATATTTCAGTATATTAGATTTAGCATCAGGATTCCACCAAATACCGATGGAAAAGGAGGACGCACCCAAAACTGCATTTTCCACACCATACGGACATTATGAATTTACCCGTATGCCATTTGGATTGAAGAATGCACCTGCTACATTCCAAAGACACATGAATAACTTATTGTCTGGATTACAGGGATGGGAATTATTCATCTATATGGATGATTTTGTAATTTATGCAGCAACATTAAAGGAACACGAAACCAAATTTAGGAGAATGATGGAGAGATTAAAAGAAGGAAATGTAAAACTTCAACCCGATAAATGCGAATTTTTGAGAAAAGAAGTAACCTATTTAGGACATATACTTAGTGAAAAAGGAGTACAACCAGATCCCAAAAAATTAGAAGTTGTGAAAGAATTCCCAATACCTAAAAATCCAAAACAAATTAAACAATTTTTAGGATTAACTGGATATTATCGAAGATTTATCCAGAATTATTCAAAGATAGCCAAACCATTAACCGATCTTTTAAAGAAAGCAAAGAAATTTGAGTGGACATCTAAGCAACAAGAAGCATTCGAAACCTTACGGGATAAAATATGTGAATCACCAATATTACAATTTCCAGATTTTACCAAACCATTCATTTTAACAACTGATGCATCCGGTTATGCAATAGGAGGTATTCTCAGTCAAGGTGAAATTGGCAAAGATTTACCAATTGCCTTCACTTCAAAAATCCTAAATAAACATGAACAAAAATATTCCACTATTGAAAAAGAATGTTTAGCTGTAGTATATAGTGTTCATCATTTCAGACCATATTTATATGGAAGGAAGTTTAAAATAGTTACTGACCATAAACCTTTAGTTTGGTTGCATAATATTAAAGATCCTACATCCAGACTCTGGAAATGGAAATTGAAATTATCAGAATATGAATACGAAATCGTTTATCGACAAGGAACTACAAATTTAAATGCAGATGCACTATCTCGAAATCCTCCCGAACCACGTATCCTCCCCATTGATTTATCTGATGAAGAAATATTTACGCCAAGGACTAGGAAAAGAAAATCAAAGGAATTGCCAGAAGAAACGAAACAAGATGAAAAACGTCAAAAAATCCAGCCTGAACAAATTAAACCACCTACTCCAACAAATGAAATTGAACAATCATCAGAAATTGAAAGAATCCAACCTGAACCTGTTGAAACATTTACTCCACAAGAAGCAGAAATAATTGAACACATGGAAGATGAAGAGGAAATGATTAATGAAGTCCTACCAGATCCACCAGAAGATGTAGAACCATTCATCGAAATTCCACCTGAACCTCCTGACGAAGATTCAATTATACATGAGGACTGGAACGATGACTCATTAGACTCGGAAAGCGTAAAATCTGATGAACCCGAAGATGTTGATGTTATATTTGATGAACCACCACAATACGAATTTCTTAAAATACTAAAGACTAAGGAACCATTATTAATTCAAAAAAATAATTTAGTAGTATTTTTGACATACCAAGGTACACCTGCGTGTGAAGGAGCCAAAGAATTACAGGAAGCAAATTTATTACCAGACATCAGTGAAATTATTCCTAATATACCAAAAGTAGAACCATATGAAAATCATTACTTAATTTTTGTTCCAATTCAGGAAAGGAAAACAGCTCCAATAACCGCGAATCAAATAATTACCGGACTAAGAATTATAAAAAATGTTTTAGACGAATTGAATCTTTCCAGTTTTGCTATTAGAGAATCTCCATCATTAGGAGATGTATCATGGTATTTAATAAATAAGAGAATAGTAGAATTATTTAGCGATTACAGAATTACAATAACATATTGTCAAGGAAAATTAAAGGTACCTCCAGAAAATGAAAGATTAAGAATAATTATAGAAACTCATAATTCAATAATTAATGGACATAAGGGTGTAACTAAAACCCTCGAAAGAATTAAAACAAAATATGTATGGCCAAATATGAAAACACAGGTACAAAATTATGTAAAAACATGTGAAATCTGTCAGCTTAAAAAATTAACTAGAGTAAAAACTAAACAACCTATGATAATAACAGATACACCTGGCCATGCATTTGATAAAGTAGCTATAGACATAATGGGACCGTTACCCATTACAATTACAGGTAATATATATATTCTGACCATGCAAGATCTGTTGACCAAATATTCCATAGCTATACCTTTAAATAATACAAGTTCAATTTCAATAGCTGATTCTATGTTAAAACGTTTGATCTGTGTCTTCGGCGCACCTAAAGCTATTCTTACTGATCAAGGAGCAAATCTAATCTCGTCAATTATAAATTACATAGCAAAACGATTTGGCATAAAACAATATAAAACAACTGCGTACAGACCACAATCAAACGGATCATTGGAAAGATCACATCATGTTTTATCAGAATACTTAAAAATACAAACACAAAAGGGTAGAGATTGGGATACATGGTTAGATCTCGCTATGTTTTCATATAATACTAGTGTTCATGAGGGAACTAAATATACACCGTATGAGTTAGTATTTGGAAGAACCGCTAGAATACCAAGTTCTGAACCAGAGATAGATGATAGAATAGAAACAACATATTTTCAATACTTAAACAATTTATTTGAAGTATTAAAGGAAGTACAGACCGCGGCACACCAAAATCTGGTAAAGGCAAAAGAAAGATCTAAAAGATATTACGATGCGAAAATTAATGTCCAAAATTTCAGCCCTGGGCAATGGGTTTATGTATTGAAAGAACCAACAAATAAACTTGACAATCAATATACAGGCCCATACCAGATATTGGAAATATTGCCGAGACATAATTTAAAAATTAAGATTAAGGATAGAAGTAAAATAATTCACCAAGATAAATGTAAACTGGCAAAACAGATATGATTCACAGGATGCACGCATACCTCCTGATTATCATCGCAATAATTAACACTACTAAAGGCCTTATCGGATATGACTGCGGAGGACCAATTATGAACCATACCACGATATCCTTACTGGATATGGATGAATGCAAATCACCAGGACCAAACGTGAAAACTATAAAAACCCATATACAACTGCTCCAACTCTCTGAGTATGACCACACGGAAATTATACAATGTCAAGTAAACATTAGAAGAATCATACTGCATTGTGGAATGCATTCCCATATATCAGCTGTACAAAATGGCTTTGCTGAATACATCTATGAAACCACACGAGATTCATGTCAGAAACTGCACCAAGAGGGAATTCTGTTCTTGGGCACTGCAATTTTGACAGGAATAGCTCGGAATTCTACAACTCATCGTACAATAACGCTGGCTGGAACTTCGGAAGTAGACGGAACTTGCTATGGAACCACATATTCAGATCCTTATGGATCATGGACCAACGTAATTGTTCAAGCCGACATTGAGATTAAACTTAAAAACCAAATGGCAAGAATTAAAATGGATTCAGGAAAAATAATCCTACCATCGGGAACAACGTGTAACTTAGCAGATTCAACCTGTATCGACTATGATTCCGGGAACACGTATTGGAAATCATTACCAACCGATACTTGTGAACTAAAATCTTATGATGTACTTTATGAAGGATTAGCCGATAAAATAGAAGAGAAAACGACAGCACAACATCCAACTATCTACAGTCTAACCACAGAAAGCGTCACATTTGCTTTGACGCAGATTGGAGAACATCGAATATGTGGATATTCAGTACTCTCAACAGAACACCCAAGGTTATTCATCATGGAAACCACTCCAGGAAATTCAATCATAAAACAAAAAAGACCTCACGTAGATAATCTGGACATATTTACTTATATAAATTCAAAATTTATTTACGTGGAAAAACACGTAAAAACCCAATTAACATCATTATATCAAAGTATAGTTTTACAAAAATGTGAATCAGAAAATCAAATATTAAGAAATGCTTTATCACTAATATCGTTAACCCCAGAAGAATTTGCATACATAGTCGCAGGGAAACCCGGATACATTGCTGTAAATGCAGGAGAAGTAATACACATTCTCCAATGTATACCAGTAAATGTGCAAGTTCGGAAAACAGAAGATTGTTACAATGAATTACCAGTAACACATAACAATGTAACATATTTCTTGTCGCCAAAAACAAGAATTCTAACAAGATATGGAACTAAACGTCAATGCAATCCATTATTACCAACTATTTATAAAATCGATAATCAATGGGTAAAACTTACACCATCCCCGATGATTACAGAGAAACCTCAGAAGACGAAGCCAATTTCCGAACTAAATTGGAATTATCTAACTCCAACTTCATTAGCCACAAGTGGTATTTATTCACAAGAAGAATTACAACAATTACGAGATCATATTATGTTTCCAGCAGAAAAACCAGCAGTAGTACATGAGATTGTTAGAGAAATGACCAATGAAGAAACAAAAACCATCTCAATTAATGGAATATTGAACGAACAAGCAATCGAGAAAATTACAAAATCAGCAATTAATAGGATTTGGGAAGGATTCATGGAATTTGGATCAATAAGCGCAGCTCTTATAGGAATATTTATTATTCTCAAATTTATTAAAAGTCTTATTGACATTGTAATTAATGGATACACTTTACATTCTATGTATGGATGCAGTATACATATATTGGGAGCCATATTTTCGTCCATCACATATCTTCTGGTCCATCTCCATGGAAAAGCAGAATCAACCTACGACATGGAATCCAGCAGTCACAATCAACCCAGCGCATCCGAGAAGGAAGTAAACAAGCCAATTACGGTCCAAGAACTGAAAAATAAAATAGAAAGTATGAAAGATTAAAAGAAAAAGGGAAATCA